GCGCATCCGAACTCGGAGACCTGGAAGATGTCTCAATTCGCACTATAATATTCCCCCCCTTTATACGCGCTAAGTCAGACTTACGGAAGTCCAAACTCTCTCTGGAGCAAGGGGCTTGCAGAGCGTTGTCGCATTGGCATGGCCTGCGCAAGCCCAAGGAAGCACAGGACATGGGTGCAGGGAATCAGGAATAACTGTGAATCAGCGAAGGACAAGCCAGAAATAACCTACAGTAAGCCTATACTGCTTCATCGAGCTGCGTCCAGTGAGGGGTTCCATTGGACTTCACCCGTGGTTGAAGCGGCAGGGAACCTGCGACTGGGAAAGGATTTAGGGCTAGTAAGATGTTAAGGCTGATGCTCCTTTCTAACTAAAGCGAGTACTTCCAATGCCAAACTGAGATGGAAGCCGCAGCCTTCGAATGACTATTGCTGCTCTCGCTCCTGATGTTGCTACAATGGGGCTTTCTGACAGCAATCACCACACATCGGTAGGGAAGTTACAACTAACAATCCCCATACAACCATTTGGACTGATTGAGCGCTTTGATTCCCAGACGCGCAGAGAAGTACCTTTTTCAAAGGCTCCAAAAATTCCTGCCATCGAAGAAGCAAGGGCCTTAGCCTTAATCCTTCGAGCGCAGAGGCCAGGCCTGTGCTAAGCAGGAGCGCGAGAGGTCGAAGCAGAACTGGATGAACTCAACCTCCACGGAAAAGGGTTGTGCGTTTAAATTGGGGAAGACATTCTTGTGGCCAACTAAACTACTGTCTTGCCGGAATGACTCGGCATTTGTTTTATTCCCACGGCTCTGAGATTCCCTGTGGTCGGTTGTGAATCATGAACAGTGAACCGGCCTGGCCTGACGAAGAGCCGACGGGAAAAAAGAAGACAAAAATGACAACTACAGCCTCAAGCCCCGGCCCTACATGAAACTTGTGAAATCTTTATGGTTGCACAAGCCGGAACTGTCTGCTTGCTTTTTTGACCTCTTGCAGGCCCTGCTGGAACCCTTTCCTCGTACCCTAAAAGCGTCGGACGTAACTTTTGACCTCATTCGCCTGTAAGCCCTGACTTGCACTGACCTACACACTCTGCATGTGTATATACATATATATATATCACCTAAGACAAATTACAAGCACCTGACCCTCTGCTCTTCCAATCTTCGGCCTGGGCGGCCTGTGAGTCACTATAGCCAGCCTCCAACCCGCTGTTCAGGACGTATCGCCAGAGTATTGCAACAACAATCAAATAAACTATAATCTTGAATCCAAACCCCAGGATTCCTCGAGCCCTAAGCCTTCGCCCCAAACCCTACAACCCTTCTGCCTCTTTTTTGCATCCAGGACGGAGACTTCAGTTTCAATCCCAAATCTCAACGACCTTGCTTGCAGCCGCCAGCATCTTCTGTCCAGGCTAAACCCACCCTTGCCCACAGACCTCTGCACTCGCGCGCGCCACCGCGCTGGGTCCGAAGCGGGTCAGTGTGACCTGACAGCTCGGTTCTGCCTACCGTGCAGAGTTTCAATTGTGTGAGGCTTTGCCACTTGCATGCACGTAACAGTGCAAGTCACAGTCTAGGTAGCACAATGGGTCGGAAAAGTGGCCAAGCCCTGCAACCACGCCCAGGTTTGAGGTTTAGGGCTTGTGCTCTGGGAGCATTAGGAGCCATGTTTTGTTTTGGGGGGCCAACGACACAGCTCTACTCAGCGCCTCAGCCAAGCGAGGCATGCATGCTTCGGGTTTGATACGCCCCGAGGTTTGCAGGTCACGCACGCTGTGTCAGACCCGAATAATCCGGCTCGGACTTCAGTTCGTCGTTCCAATGGATAGGATGGATAAGGGATTTCTCTCGCATGAAACAAAGCCCCATGTGTCTGGCCAACGGGGAAGGGTTCTGACCCTCCACTGCTGCACCAGAATTCAAAACTAAGCTGGCCTGTGTTGAAGGAGGCTCAACAAGTTGAATCTGCCCCAAGTCTACGTGCACTGCCTGGCTGCATGACACCCAGAACATAAGTCTGGCTAGAGCCGCTTAGGCAACATAATCCTAAGAGCGAGCACGTTAGGGATCCCAAACATATCTAAGCTCCAACAATCTTAATGCACGTGTTTTCAGCTATCATATTTCTTCATGGTTCTCGCGCTCGCTATCATACCAGCATTTTTGAATCATGCTTGCCACAATTCTTGTTGTTGCACGGTTGTCGCGGAAACAGCTGCGGCAGCTGAGGATGATGCCAGGTCCCCATGCTGCAGCTTGGCTTGCTCTCCGCGGCCCTGTCAGGGCTCTGCTGTCTCCCAGCGTTTGTGGCCGTCTGACGTTCTCAGGATGGAACTTCTGCATGCAAAGACTGGCGACTTGTTATCTTGAAGGACGAATGAGTTTGCGCAAGACATGCTTGTTTTACTCTACTCCAGATATGGGGGGCTTACAGGCAAAGCCCCTTATACAGGTTATCCCAAAATTCCCGATAACTAGCCAAAGGCTTGTTAGACTGCGGCTCATCTTCCTGAAAGGCCGCCAATGCTGCCTCCATATTGCAAATATTGCAAGAGAAAAGGCGGTGCCTTGACCTAGAGTGCGGTTCCTTGTCTCTGTCACACAGCATTACTTGCCTGCACCCTTGCAGCACAACTCTAGCTTGTCAGCCACCCTTTCCTGATCATCCGTCATCACTCGCAGACATCACCAGCACAGCAAAGAGCTCGGGCCCACCGCCCTTGCTGATAATCATGCAAGCCCTTGAGGTCCCTCACAGAGGAAGCCTGCAGGAGACGATCATTCACTCGCGTGCCGTTGCCGCTGCAGTTCCTAAGTGCTTTGCTCGGGTCGCTGCCAGATGAGATTTCATCACAAAAGGCTAACGATATCACTATCCCGCGATCATGCACGCAAGCAGGACAAGCTGCACACAACATCTTGGAATATCATTCCATCCAAACAAGCTCAGGAAAAGCTGTGAGATATCTGCAAGGGCCTAAGGCAAGAGGAATTCCACGAGGTCGGAGACAAAATACGCAAGCCTTCCGAAATCTCCCCTCCCAAATACCATGCCGAGGCTCATCAGAACAAACGAAGGCTCGTTCTCGACACCTGGGCATTCTCTCACAGAATCGTAGTGGAGATATTGGAGATTTCAGATTGGTTTGGAGGCTGGCTACGGTGTAGGTGGCGCTGTACTTCCCACATATGGGGAAAATGCCGGGTAATCCAAGCATGTCCACAATTTTGAAGTCTACCCGCTGCTGATATGGTTTTGAGATGCATCATCTAAAGGGGCCCTAGACCCTGTCCTGCACAAGACTGGCCTCCTTAGAACTATACTGTTGTGGTATGCATTTCCTCGAAACTGAGCCTGAAAAGCTCCCAGTACAACAGTGGCATCCCGAGCAGCACCTCACTGCCATTAAAGTGACTAATCGTAACAATCACTTTTGTTGCAACAACAGGGGAGTCTTGTCAGCAGCTACACTGTCTCATTCTGACAATCAGGAGAGTCATAATGGAAAAGCAAGCAAAGAGAGCCGATGACAGGTGCCCCGCCCAGCTGCAGCTCGCGGCCCCTCGAAGATGAGATCGCATTGCCCACAATCCAGATCTGACCAGAAACACATTCCCACAGTATGGACGTTCCCAAACAAAAGATGCCAGGCAAGAATAGCTTCAGAAGTGCATGCGACATCCTCACTGTCTGAGGCTCCCCCCTGGTACCCCAAAGTCTGAGATGCTTACTACACAGACTGCTGCATTCAGGCTTGAAAGTCATCAGGCCCCGTCGAGTTCAAGCATCTTTTGGACTCTTGGATCATCATATCTTGTGGCTAGGATGACGGGAACACCATGACAATGACAGGGATAAACATTCTTGCAGCTGGACAAATCACGTCGATTGTGGGAAGCAACAGGCTACCAAGCGCAGTAGCTTGGAAACTTGTAAAACGTGAATTCTGGTGCAGGGGCCGTGCTTTACAGTATCAGGCGGATGAACATGGGATGGCTCTAGACCCGGGGGTCTCACAACCTTAGGCTGGCGACCGCGTGTGCAGCGGAAGCAGCCATGTTGTGATGAACGACATGTTACAAGATGTTACAAGAAGACGATGCATTTCACTAAAGGCCTTGTGCCTATCAGGGCGGTGGAAGCCTGCAAGCCTCTCAATGTATATGATGATGCCTGCATGCTGTAGGCCTTTCTCAGCGGCCATCCCATCTGCATGTCTACTCTCTACCCTCTTTTCAATGATGGGCTTGAAGTGCAGGACAGTGGGGGCTCGATGGTTGGCACCATCTCGTGGGGCCTGCGCTGGCCTGCACCCTTCCTTTCTAGCACCGGACACGGCTTCTTTGAAACATGTCCAAGTCCACCCGGCTTCCGTTAATCGATCTCGTTTGAGGCCAGGTGTTTCAACACCTACACTAGCCCAGAAGCACCAAGGCTTGGGGGGCCAGGACAAGCCAACAGTGCAGGTTGTGAGGGATTGCACTGGCCCAAGTCTGTTCAAAGGAGACACAAACCAGCCAAACCCCAATCTAGCTCTAGGGACAAGGGTGAGATAGCGCGGCAGCCCCTCACTGCGTACAAGCCAAGGCAGGCATCCGCCTGCGCGAAAGAACGCATCTTGCAAAACATGCGAGAACTTCCAGCCCTTTCACCTCTCTCTTGCAGTCTCGGAAGTGTCAGTGTGTGGCGAAGCTTTCAAAAAGGAACCACTCCGCAGTGGCAGCGATGACGGCTGAAAATGCATGACTCGTAGCCCAGAGTTGATGGCCTTTGGCCCAGCGAAATACAAAATAAGCGATGTCCTTTTCGTATTGAGCATGCATACAAGCAACTTACAGTAGGAGTCGCAGCAAAGGTAGCAGGTCTACATGCGGGTATTTGTGACAGAAGCAATACCATCACTGTCAATGTCTCTGAAACAACTTCCACATTTTGGGGGTAAACAGGATCCTCAACTTTGATTAACATCTGTTTGAGAGCCTGGCCCCACCTGGCTCAGGCAGCTGCCGCTTCGACCAGGACCTTGGTGAAGACCTCGGGGCCATAGCTGCGAGCCTTCAGCGCCTGACTTTGGCGAGGATTTCTGTGAAGCTTTCGATCCAGGACTTGTTCCCTCCCACCTAGCTGGTAATGGCATGCGGGTTGGTGAGACCGGCTTGGGTTATGATAGGCTTTTTCATGTTTTCAGCTTTTCGGATCCCTAGGTTTTCCCACACGAGGGGTGACATACTAGTTCTTTGCAATCCTAGGATATCCGAATGGAAGTACCACCAAATCTTCCAGAACTGGATTCGAGAGAAGTAAGGGTGGGTGTTTGGGGCTCGTTGATCGTCGCAGTTTGTGGTTCTGGTTGCTGCGATTTGCTCCAGGTGATATGGACTGAAATTTCTTTGCACTATGTATTTTTGGTCTGGTTTTTCGGAACATGGCTTAAGGGCCTGAATGGGTGGCAGGTGCACTTGGTGCTTGAGTACTGCTACCCGGGGAGTAGACTGGTGAGTTTCAAGGGCTTCAGTGTGTGGGGCTGCAAAACACTCTTGTCCAGCCCACAAGCAATCAAGTAATTTCAGGAGAAGAATCAGTGACATGACATGATAATAGAACAGGATGGGTGCATCAAAGGCTTCACCAGTCTGCCATGTGCAAATTGCAAACTGGCCATCAAAGCTTCAGAACTTATGGAAGGCTCTATGGGAGGTTTCTTTCGGGATTATCTGAGGATCTGCTGGGCTTTCAGAGAGATTTCTGTGACGAGCATACAAGGAATACCTAGAGCAAGAAGCTGCCTCGTAAGCCCCGAATGGAACAGGGCCCTTGGCTTCTTCAAGGGTTTCCCTCGCACGCATGTATGCCATCTGGCTATCAATCTTCCGAAGAGATTGATGGTTGAGAACTTGCAGTGACAGTGGATCTAAGATTTAGGGCTGACTCGTCTCGCTTAGCCTGGACATTTACCGTCTTGACATTCAGGATTCAGTACCAGAAATCTAGGTTTATGAAAGCTTGGTCAACGCAATGGCGTTCCGGGTTGGGCACGTTTGCAGAGCATAGCGCGTCAGTTCTGCACACCTTCGGATCTACACCCACTCAGCTTGGGCCACCCCCTCAAGTACACATTTATGGCAATCAGTGTTCATGGCTTAGAAAAATTACAGTACAGTTTAGATGAGCTCCCAGGCCCTCAAGCAGCACACCCCAAACCCCCAAACGCCTGAGCCCTGAAATCTCGAACCTGCCCACAGCCAGGCCTCTCCAGCTGCACGAGCGGCTTCGCGGCAAGTTTTTGCCTTGTGGATGGCCGAAGCCACCTCCTCAACCTCATGCGTATCCCTCACACGATCCCGGATAAAGAAGGAAAGACAATCCTGCTTTAATCCCAGATTTCTTAAGTTAAGGGTTTCCGAGGGTACCGCTAGTTCCGCTCGTTTAAACACTTCAGAATCCAGCGCTGCTTCCGTCAACATTGGTCTGTATCATCCGGGTGATTGTCTCGAAATATGATATCAATGTCACTGCCATTGCAACATGTCAAGCTTGCTGTGCTCCTCTTCACTGCTGCTGTTGCCCTTTTACCTTCATTAAAGCTGGCACCCTTCTCAGGGCAGTGTCATTTTTCTTGAGACTGCGGATGCACGCAAAAAGTAAAGGGGTTACAAGGCCACAAGCATCTGGGAGTCCTCACCATACGTACCATAAGCACAAGGACCGGAAAATCCAAGAATTTGCAAGGCCCCCAGGTAAGCTTGAAAGACGTTGGAAGTAAGGGCTTTTGAGGTCTGTCCTCGATCTGGACCTCCTGGAGGACTAGCCGACTAGCCTTTAAGCAAAAACAAACACGCCCTTAACTCACACATCTCAAAAAACAGCGCTCCTCCCCACCCGAACCAGCCAAACCGGCCGAGCCACCGTAATGGTTTTCATTTCGCCGGCCTGAGTGCCCAAGCCCAGCTTTTCCAGCAGACTCGCGTACAGGAACTGATCGCCCAGAAGAGGAGAGATCACCTGCGGAGTGCTTTCTCTCTTCCTTCAAAAACCACACGAAGAAAAAGAGGAGATGCGTTTCTCCCTGCATTGGGGACAACAGTAATAATACCTCATCTACGATACTCACCTGGAACTTTTCGGCATTTCAACAAGGGTGCCTCTACATGTCCAAAAATGGGAGGGATCCCTGCAGTCAAGATACCAAAATCTTTCCACATGAAAGTCGATTTTGTGGGCATCCTACGTTTCAGGAGCTATTTACTTGGGAAAGCCCAAAAACACGTGTGTGCAAGTTTTACTTGCGTGCGATTGACTGCGAAGCTTGAGGTTGCAAATCTCAACGCTCGAGTGGCGTAACGCACGCACGCGGAGTTTTAGCTTGACGGCTTGGCTCCTTGGCCGCCGGGAACGCGCGTTGGCTGCCGGGGACTTGTGGCTGAGACTGTCACGTCCCCCGATCCTCCCTGTAAAGACTTTGAAGACCGCACAAGTAACAATCTGTAGCCCAGCTGCCGGCGGAATCCCCGCGCGAAGCGTTGAGTTCACCACGCCGGCGCCCCCGTGGCTGAGCATCATGCCTCGCTTCGCTGGCTTAAGAGGGTTCCAGGGTCACTGCTCGGAGTCCTGTGCGGATACCGCGGACGTGTTCTCAGTACTGGAATGCTTGTGCTGACCCATGCTACCACCGCTGCTACCATGGCTGCTACCAGTGTACTGCTTTTCTGTGAAGACTGGGCCCAGATGCTGCAGCGTGGAAGGAGCCAGGGGTACGGCACTGAGGAGACTTGGAAGATGTTAGCAGAGACCCACTCATCCTCCTCGCACTTGAGAGCATCGCCCACAAAAACCTTAGATTGCACAGGACTTTGTTTTATCTAACAAGGTTTTACACATACAGGGGCTGCAGAGGGATCCTAACAGGGTGGCGCAGCTTCTCTTGTCTGATATCACTGTCCAAGTGCTTACAGGTGTCAACGGCTGCCTTCTTCTGTGTCAAGGCTTTTTTGTTACGGGCTTGTGTTCAAAGTTTTTGTCTTCGGCCGAAGGCTGCAGGGCTGAAATCCTCTTTCATTATGCTGCTGCGGCTTTGGGGCTCCTGCTGGCTAACTCCTTGCAGAACTGGACAGAACTGGGCCGTTGAGCCTAGCATGTCTAGAATGAATGTATGTCAAGGGTGTAGGACTGGCTCCATGCTTATTCCAAACCTCTTCCAACAACAGTCTTCATGGGGTGTGTTGGCTTTCCACCAGAGGCCCGGGTTCTGTTGACAGGTCCTGAAGCAGACGGAATTGCATAGGCATGGCAGATCCCCTCGCGAAAGCCGACCATAACACCATCGAGAGTAAGGCACTTCTAAACATGAGCGTGCTCGACTGGCCGCATGTTCGGGTAGTGCTTCTGGGGCTCTTAATCACAGAGCCCTTTTTCAAGCCTAGAAACCCTGAAGTGAGGGTGCACCAAAATAGGACTCTGGCAGCCCAGCAACAGCCCTCTCCCCGGCGCCCTGTAGCGCATCTACGACCATGGTGGCCTGCCGCCCAGTCAGGACACTGAAACCCATGGCATGGAATGCGCCAAGATGTTGAGGCGCCCAAAACCCGTGGCCCCTTTCGCAGGGTTGTATACCAGCAAAACCAACTGCATTAAGATGAATCTGGGGGCCCCGGATTCTGGCTTGCAACAGCATGCTTGCGAGTTGTCCTTTACCACCCTGAGTCGATGCGTTGCTGGTTCAGGTCCTAGTTGCATCTCCCTTTTTGGCACGCGCATCCTGTGTCAAGAGAATCTATGTAAATCCCACTTTGCCTACATCAGAAACTAAAGGGCAAGTCTCTGGAACTGAAACTTAAAAAAGTAGGTGCAGGAGGCAAAAGAGCATGGTTTAGAAGGGACTCAGCAGTGGCAAACAGCAACCAGAAGCTGACCTCTAATGTCAATACCCCGCTTCATCAAGAGAAGCAAAAACTCTCCTGGGTGCTTGGCTTCCTCTCCGACTTTGGGCCGGGGCATAGCATCAGAGACTGGGAATGACACGGTTGCTTCTGCAAATGTTGCTGCAACCTGCCCAGGTGCGGATGCTCTTCCCGAGTTCTACAGAACCCCTGCATCCAATGGACTCGACATGCAAACACTCCTCCCTGGTAGTGGATCTGCCTTCACAATGGACATGCGGCTACCGTAAATTGTCCCTTCAGCACTGTTCGGCATCCTGAAGCTTCCACCGCTGCCTTGTCAAAGGGCATGGAGCCGTAACCGACACACACCGGCGGCTGAGCAGACGCCTGAAGAAACCTGAGACAAGAGCGAGGTGCTTCGTGCTTGCTGAGAAGGACCATGAAGGCACCAACAAAGGCTTGCCACGGTAGGGGCCCACCAGCAACTAAGCTCGCCAGCGGCCGTGGTTTCGCGCAGCCGGGGAATGTCGAATTTCGTTCAAAAAGTCACAAAATCAAAAAGCTTTACTTACTTTTGCAGAGAATCTGATCTACTTGTTGCAAAAAACTTTCGACAACTTTCGACAAATGCATAAAAAGGCAACAGAAATTGACTCTTCGCGTTTTCGGTCAGTTTTCAGAAAGAGTTCACCTTTCGATTTGTCGGGCAACACTTCAACAGGTATCACTCTTGGTAATAATCATTCAGTTTTCAGCTTTTCCCCACGTGACCCACTTGCCGCACCGCACTTGCCCCACTTGACCCACTGGCCCCACTTGCCCCACTTGAGTGGGACGAGTGGGGGCGAGTGGGACGGGCCACGTTAATTTTCACCCCCCCCCCCACCGCGGTCGCAATGACCTTTTCGGCAAAATCGGCAAAAGCTGAACGGTTGTCACTGTTTGCAGAAAGTTTGACTCTGGGAATCTAAATATGTTTTCGACTTCTCGGGCGAGAAATTAAAAAGTTTCACTTTGCAACTTGTCGGGAAAAACTTGAAAATTTTCGATCTTCGCCAAAAACATGTTTCGCAAAAGGTTGCCTTTTCAATTTTGCGGGCAACAACTCGACTTCAGGTGAGGTGTTGCGGGGCCAAAGCATGTGTGATACTTCAATATGAGCGTCGCCTCTGCCCAGATTTCAGAAACGGAACGACCTGGAAATATCGAACATATGCGACTTTCAGATGTAGCAGAGGAGCCAAAGCGGACAATTCGTGCGATTTCTGCAGCTAAATTTAGGTGGACCTAAATCCGTCCACAGTACTGATAGAGTGTCAACTGAAAATCCTGTGCACCTGCGCGATGGGAAGGCTGCCTGAACCCAACAAGGCCCTATGCCATTTCTCGTGTTGTTCAGCAAGGCTGCGGGTGAAGAAACGCAGCGTTAGACACATCATGCCATCCATCCAGGCGTGGTTCTGCATGCGAGAATTGCCCTGTTTTCCTTTTGACGAGAACTGCCAAACGCGCTGCCTCTCTGCAGACTCAAGCCTTCTGGGCTTTAGTATATCTTTCCATCGCTCCAACCATGGTCTGAAAGGCCTACGATGATGCGCTTCATGTTCTGCCACGAGGATTCATGTGAGGCTTAAAAAGCCCAAGTATCCAAAGTAATTACCTCAGCCAAGAGGCGTCTCCAGACCTGCTGGTGGCTCCCAGCCTGCTGGGATCAGGCGATCCGCCAGGGGACCCACATCGTGGACGTGAGGGCCTCTCCAGGGCTCCATGCGAAAGGTGCACTCTTCACGAGCGCTGACGGTGCTGGATAACACAGCAGAGATACCAAATAACAAGGTCTTTCGCAATGGTGTAAAGAAGGGCGTTCCGTGCTTAAGGCAACAAACCAACACAAATTGAATCTACTCATGCTTGCTGTATCTTCAGACCGCTTCGGTAGAACAGCTGAAGCAAAGAGACTGGGATGTCACATAGCAGAAACGATGGACCAATTGCAAGATCTGACACGCTTGCAGGAACGTACAGGGGTGGTTGAGTTTAAAAGCACCTTGACGCAAGGGGTCTAGCATGAGGACTATGACCCTGAACAATGCCCAGCATGGCCTGGCAGGATCTGGAGCTGGTTTCAGAAAATAATACTCCCCAGGTTTCTGAAAAAAAACGGAACGAACACCCAGCTTCTTCTTTCAAAATCTCCCTCAGGCCGTGGTGTGGCCTGCATCGGAAACCGCTGGCACCAGTTCAGGGCAGCATGTGTTCCTGAGGTACTAGTATCTTTGCCAACCATAGTGAAAGGTCCTGGCGTTTGAAGTGTCTTGAGTTGGCTTCGCGGGCCATCACCATAGGGGATCGTACAGTACCAGTAGCATTTGGGGCGAATTTTCAAAGCCCCGTTTTTGAGAGATATCAATGAATTTAAGGTTGAGGGGCAGCCTTGCTTGGGACGCACTTATCTGAGGATCGACGAGCATAGCCATGACTTAAATGCCGGTATCGACATGAGATTGTGCAGAACCCCAAACATCAAACGGCGCTGCTCGGAGCATCTCAGATCAAAATCAAAGGTGTAACCTGACCTAAAGATTTGATGTACGACAATCCGCCAACAAAAGGATATCGTGCTTGGAGAAAATCCAGAAACCCTCCTGCGCAGTCATTGGCAGGTCAGAATACGACCTGCAATGTAGGGAGAGGCCTAACACCAGAAAGCTGCATATCTAGCAAGAACAGAAGGTGGGGAATCTTGGCCGAAGTGCACGATCAGGACTTCCTTCCGCTCTCCGCGGAGCATAGGCAGCAGGTCCTCCTGTCATGGAAGCATATAAGAACATGCTGGCTCTCATTCAGCTACATGCCCCTGTTGCAGAGGAGATCTCATGAATTGGGATCCAAAATAGGAGTCTTCTGGGTTCTTATCGGAAAGCGTTCGACGTTCGAAGTCAACGAAGCCAGGCACGCTGTGTAGCTGTATGCATGCGCTGAAAAAATCCCCGTGTTGAGCTTCCAAGACTTAAGTGCACCCACCAAAGGTTCTCGAAGGATCTAGCATGCCCTCCTTCATAGAACTTGACTCACTTGGAATGCTGCTGGCTGGGAGTAGCAAGATCTTTTTAGGCTGATCTCAGATCAGGGCCTTGGGTCGCAGGCTTCGCGTAGCGGTTGTAGCATCTTATGCGAAAGATGACGCCAGCAATCAGCAACAGCTAACAGCGACTATCGCACATGATCTAGTTGCGAGTGGCTTGCTTTGCTATACAATTAGAACCCACCGCACCCTCAGCACTTGTCTTCTCAAAACCCCTTGAAACACGACTGCTCATTGAAAGGGCACGCAAGGCAGACCTGCTCACGTACCCTGAGCCCACAACCAGAAAGCAACTCGATTACTTCTTCACTGCAAATAAATCTTTGCCAAGGCTCTTAAACCCTCACCCTCAAAACCGTGTTTTCTCTGTCAACTACTGGGCTCATGATTCCTCGAACCGGATCATGGACACTCCCAGCTCAGCATACCAGGCCGAGAGCCTTACAACTTGGGTGGACATTGAATACCCAGATGTGTCAAAAATGTAGAGGGATGCATGGGGTCCAGGGCCTCTCAGGGAGTTCGAGAAGCATGAGTTGGGGTTATACCTGCGCTCACTCATGTTGTTGCGAATTGAGGCAGAAGGTGCCTCACATATGACCCCACTAACGACCGACCATCCAAGTATATTGGATCTTGGATACATACTGCCTACTGGCGACGTAGTGAGAAAACTCATGCTTGTGGATTCAAGGCAGAGAGTCGCAGGTTTCTTGGGGGGATGCAGGCTTTCACCACCTTAGGTGCAGAATTATGCGGTACTGTACGCCACAATATACGGAATCCGGACAGAGCTTTGTTGGGACTGCTGCGCGTAGACTGGCGCTTGCCTGGGTTTTAGCTTGTGGTCGCGGAGGTTCTGTTCTGCTCTCGGGATGGCGAGAAATGCTTCACGGGGAAGTATCCGGGGGCACAGCAACAGAAACTACCTGGTTCCATGTTGACTGCGTTGGCAGAGGAATGCTCTGAACATAGCATGCCATGCTTTGCGGCGTTTTCACAAGTGCACCTCTCGTCCTATAACTGCAGCTTCAAGGATTCGGGCAGACTTACTCGATCGACTCTTGTAAGGAGCCCCAAAAGACAGATAAGGACAGGGAGCCTCTCCTGTAGAAACTCGTGCTGGAAGCGATCCTGCTTCAAGGCAAAGCAAGGGCCTGACTGCATGGGACTTTCTCATTTTGTAGGGTTGTAAACCATCAGTTGGCAGTTGGCAGATTTTGAACTCTTCTCATGCGGCAGCGATCTTCATACGTTCTGCGACTTTGGCAACCACTTCGATGGGGTAAACAGACCCAAGCACAGCAAACTCCAGCCCCAGTCCAGCAAGAAATAGGTCTCCGCGTTCCCGTCATCGCCAGTCTTTGCAGCGATGGCATCCACACAGGCCTGCCGCGCTTTGAAAACATAAATAAGTAGGGCTATCCACGCTTAAAATGCTTGGCAATCTCCACACAAAACGAAGAACTAGAGCAAACTAAATTTCGGAGCTCACGCCTCCTGTGCGCAGCCTAAACTCTCGCCTGCCTCGAAATTTACGGAACCTTTTTACGCATGCAGGGGAACGGCCTACGCTGTGGTTCCACATTGAATAAATCTCCCATGGCATTCTTAGCTGTTCAAATAAAAGCCTCATTGCGGAAGAACATGTTGTTAGGTATCATTGCGGTCCGTTTTGGGGCTTATTAAGCCATGTAGGGATTACTATTTTGGGGGCTCATGGTAAGCCTGTCCGTCTCATCCAAACCCTCGAAAGCTTCACCGCCTTTGTGTTGGAGAAGTGCGGGAAGTCGCGTGTGGGGACCAGAGGCTGGAGGTGCACCACGCTCACCTTAGCAGTCACCCCAAAGACTGCGAATGCTCGAGTTCAGCTTTTTCTTTATGATCTACAGTGGATATGGTTGTGTAGCGAACAAGACGTTGAGAGCATGTTGAAAAGCTGGGCATCCGCAAGCCCTTCTGGGATCTCCTCGTAGCCCTCAGATCTTGGCCAGAGTTCAGGCCTCCCCCTTTTAGACAAGGCCGGAAGATTCAAACCTCTCGCTACAGTTCATGCGCGACCTGAAGGACTCAACATCTGAATCCTCTACTGCCTAGCGCACTTCCTAAAATCCCCGGCCCCCTCGAGACTTTATCTACTTCAGACGGGCTATGATCTGCTAGGGCTTTGCTGCCACCCGGGCACGGGGATATTGTTCTTCGCGCCCAGAAGCAGCCTTTGAAAGCACACGCAGAATGGAGCTGCTTGGGCTTTGGCTTCAGATTCATACAATGTTGTAGGGAACCCCCTTTAAGGGTTGGCTTATGAATATCCACACGAGTACTTCTGCTGTTTGCATCTGGTTTTCTCGGACACAGCAGAAACTTCTGCTCAACCCAAACCCGTGATTCGGAATTTGGGCTTCAGATTTTGGCCCTAGGTGAGCTTTCTCTCTGGGTGGGCATGTGAGGCTTGCAGGATTGTAGGGGCATCAGGTTCAAGATTTAAGGGAAAGGGCCTGGACAGCTCGGTCAACCAATAAGAGCTCTACTTCTTTTGTGTGAGGTTTGTGTTGAGCAGTGTAAACACGAGCCTGATTTGGACCTCCTCGTGGCAGAGCAGCCCTTCAACCCATCTTTGCACCCAAAGTTCAGAAGCTACTGAACCCAACTTCGTCGTCCGAGAACTATGCCCCTATTCGAACCACTTTTTGCGGCGTCCCAGCCCGACCCGCTACACAAAAAAAAGATCGCGAAGGCGCCGAACAAGAAACAATCCTAGTCGCAACTAGTCTCGCAAGAAGCCTAATCCCAGGCACGCGAGCGGCCGCGCGAGAGAGGAGGTGACGAGGACTGACGCATCCTCCAAAGGCTTCTGGGAGCTGGATCTGACATACTGAGATAATATGATCTCGAGATTAGGATCCCCCAGGCCAAAGACTTTGAGCAGCCCCATCTGCAATCAGAGTGCTTCGCAATCACGCAGCAGTCCTTGGCAATCTCCTGCACCTTTGGCACGTTGGGCATAACCAAGTCGCAGATCATGTCAGCAACTCCCCCAACAAACTTCACGCGCGGGTTGGGGTGGTCCGTCCTGTCAAACACACACTCAAGCATCGATGGGGATAGCTGCCTCTTTGAGTGGGGGCCGCAAACCAAACTTGCTTGAATTCGTGGAATTGCTGGCATTGCTCTCGCAGCGCGAGACTGCGGATGGTTCTGAGCTCGAGCTCTGCTGGCTGAGGGGTGGGGAAGGGGGGGGGGGGGCGTCTGGGGCCCTCTCTGCCTTCCTCTGGGGCCCGCAAAGCTTCTGTCGTAGCGATCCATCACGGTTCGGAGTCGCAGGATGCATGTTTGTTTCTGATTAATTCAGCGCTGCCGTCTTGGTGGATTGAGGACCCGAACATGTACATGCCTTTGGTATGGCCTGCACGTGAAAAGTTCACTGGGGATTTGGCAACAGCCTCGGCTGCCTGGGCGCAAACAAGAAGCTTACCATACGAGTTCTAGCCAAGATCACTTCAAGGAAACCAGAAATCTGAAAGTATGACAGGCACGTCACCCTCCTAAAGCATGTGAAGAACCCAAAAAACCTTGCATATGTTGCATGTGTGTTTTGCTTCTGTCCAATCTTACTGATACAAGGCTGAGGCACTAGCATGCTCTATTCGGCACACACGCAACACTTCCCCACACCCGCTCCCCCTGGATGGATTGGCCATAAACTTGTAGAAGTCCATCTGCGTGAACCTCATCGTGCTGGGCAAGACATTCGACGTGCCAGGAACAATCTTTTCTGCCGTGGGGACCCGATTTAGTCTTTCTGAGTGGTTCGCGGAACGGGCGCGGTGCTAAAGCTCCTAGCTCAGCATCACGGCATATGCAGAAAATCAGGGGAGCTTCCCTTCATGCACGGGGACTTGAATCCCAGGCTGACTCCCTCCGGCCCAGCAGCGGCAGCTCGTGCACTGTTGCGCCTGCTGGGGCCAGGTGCTTGGAATCCGTCATGAGGAAGAGGTCCACTGCATGGCCTGGTGCTGAGGGAAAATCATGTTGATCAACGTGTGCCTGCTCAATCTTGCTTGTGCACCATCTCAGTAGCGCGTTCCAGAATAGTCACTGCTTGAGGAGTCACTGCTGAGAAGCCCAGTCCACGCGAGCATACCAAAGGCAACCTGAAAATGTGCTTCCAAGTCCATAACCCTGCAAAAGCTGCTTACAAATTACCACCGAACCTCGAAGACCTCCTCACGGTACTACAACGAAGAAGGCCAACACGGCTTCATGGCTCCTCTTTTGCTACGACCAAGTCAGGCCGGCCCATCATGTATTTTCACAATACATTCCAAAATCCAGGTCTCTTTGTACCCAAAAGCACAAAAAGGGGCTGCAATTGCGCTGCAGACTCGTGGGAGTCCAAGCCCCCTCTTGCCGGGCTCTACGCTTGGCTGGCCTTCGCCCACGAGGTGCGCGGCCAAGGCCTGGGCTGCGACTTTATCTTTTGAAGGCTTAGACGGCTGAAGGGTTTTGGGGGAGGTGGGTCATGGTGACGGTGCTGTGTCTTGGGGAGTTTTGGCATGTAGCCTGCGGGTGCTTATCTGGTACCAGTGCAGAGGCTGCAGACGATTGGGAGTTGGAATGCCAGTTGCTCCAGAATTGTGATTGCCGAGTAAAGGGACAAGTTGATGAAGCTAGTCCAGACGCGTGGAGAATGGGAGCAGGACACCCCACCCCTCCAAACCCATGCCCCATGGCTTTGTGCATGGGTCCTCTTCAGGATGTTGACTAGGTGGTGGACACGCTACGAGGCTTGAGTGCTCCAACTGGCAAGTCCCTCCCACACCCACACCGGACACATCAAACATGTCATGTTCAGAGACTCATGCTGAGAACAAAACGTGAGCTTGCCATGACAAACCCAGCCGTGTCCCAAAACTGCATGAACAGCCCACAACAACTACAACAACTCATTGCAGGGAGTACCACCTTGTACCACCTCAAGGCCTAGCCCAAAGGCCAGACTTGAGAATCCTGCACAGGGGCACAAAATGGCTCCGAATCCCCACGGCTGCCCACCGTGATGAGTAGGGCTCTCATGGCTGCGCACGCGGTCTCTGAACTTCTGGTGCTTTAGTGGCAGTCCTTCGCCTTACAGCACTACAATACTGCAATAATGTGCACAAGCTACAGGAAAGATTATGAACCGGATGTCCATCATGTTGTAGTAATGTGGCTCTCATGCATACATATGGGCAGGCGCCCTCCTTCACGTTTTGAAAACTTCATGTCCGCAGTTCAAGTCAGCGCCAATGGCTGCAGCAATTGCCAGTAAGAGTCACTGCCTTGTGGCTCATATTTGTAGTGAAGGAGAGATGCCTGACCGGGATGTGCGCCCTGCACTGTGCCTCATGGAGACTGCAACAAACGCAAATAGCCCTCATTCGAGCTGCTGCCTGTGCCTGTTGCAGTTCCTGGATTATGTGAATCGAATTGCCCTTGCGTATCCAATCCTACAGGGACAATGACTGACCGCCATTTACTTGTAGGCATATCTAGGTTCCGCCTTCTTCTTGCAAGCAAGAGAACATGACACATCGTGACAGGGGCACCGCAGCTACAAACCATGTTCAGACATCGACATTATGGGATCAATACAGACCTGAGCGTTGCCTGGAAGTGCTCCCGCGAGATTGTGGAGCGTCCGGAGGCACCTTTGGCCACCAGCTCCTCCATGGTTTCATGACGCTCGTCTCAGTGCAGGTTTTCTGCTGATGCTTGGGGACTTCGGGCTTTACGGATTTAAGGTTGGAATGCTGGGTGCTTCCTGGCGCTGCTCCCTCAAGGATTGCCCAGGATTATTGTGAGAAACTCCTGTACCAATCCCGTTGCTCTCAGTTGCCACCTGAACTCTGGCAGTAAGCATGGTTCCCCTGGTGAATATTGCAACTGGAACTACCACTAACATTTTAGCTGGCGGGACGGAAAAAAACAATATTCTGTCTGGGAAACCCTGAACACTTGGCGCCTTAATATGAAGGGAATCTGCAAAATCTTAGGAAATCAACAACTGATTGTCCTGCTGCCGGCTCTCTGAATCGCATACCAATCTCTTGAACGCTGCAGCCTCAGCCTTAACCCTGAAGCAGTTGACCTCAATCCAACCCACCTGGGTTATCAGAATTCAAGTGCCAACTTCGGCACTCCAAAATCAAAAATTTCTCAGCTTGACAATTCCATCCTCTACCTTGTTCCTGCAGCACCGTTACAAAACCGATCTTGTCTAGACACCTCGGAAAAGGAAGCTTGGAAACTGCCTTCCCCTGTCCTCGAAGAGTGGCGTTTGATACGCGCGACCCACAGATAGGGGGCCCTGGGCCATCATTAGCTGCTGGACACACAGGAGCTTAAAACCTGAGAGCAACACCGGGGAAGGAACTGCAAGAGTCATCCTACCCGTCCAAAACGTCACAATCACAACGATCCTGGCAATCCTAGCAGTGATGCTTCGTACTATCCTACCAGGACAAGGGCAGCAAAGTAACAACAGCAACGACAGCCTGAGGCTATGAAGTGCGCCTTTTGCTAGCGGTTTGTTCAGCACCCTGCTCAAGCCGTTCCACTTCTGGGTCAACAGGAGAGACATGGTGGGTAGGCTGGAACCAAGACAGGAGGCCCGGTGAGAACCAAAGTGACGAGACCCTTACTTCTTTCCCGGCAAAACGCCAACGTGCGCTACCACCACCCTCAATCAAGTCATAATCTTAGTCTTCCCAAGCAAGGCCTGGAGCACAGGATCACGATTCAGTTGCATGACGCTTGGCTTTGCTGAGTGCGATTTGATTTACTGTGAGTGTACTACTGTTGGAACCTGTGGATGCATGTGCCATCAGCTCAAATGCACACCATTCGGCCTGACCAAAACTAGTTCTGCCAGACCCTGATGCACATAACTTCTAGGGGCTGGATCCCTGTAGCGGTCCCTATATAACTAATCCCTTCCCAAAATCTCCACCACGCATTCCCCTTATCCGTCTAAGCGCCAAATAACAATGACCAGCCTTTCGCATGGCGGAGGCAAACACATCGTCCGATCTCTCCTGCAGCTTCGCAGTCATGGTAATGCAGAGCAGCAGTGGTGGTAGACAGTGATTCAAGCTGTCTTGAATACGAACGAAATGAGATCGTTGCCTGTTGGGATGCTAGTCCAGATTTCTCGCCCGATTTCTCCTGAACAGGAACGGGAGGTCGCTAAGTCCTCATTAACCAGAACCTCAAGCTCCTTGCTCTACCAGAGAAAAATTCCAACAAAAAAAGCTCCTTTTGCGGGTATTTATTTGAAAGGCGATTTTGTTTCGTGCTTTGGAATGAGAAAGACTGCATCAGATCTTGCTGGAAGCAAGCAGGCCGGGTCTTGTATCCACTGAAGACTTGTACGGGGCTCGGATGTCAAATCAAGGTGTTTTGAATTCTTACTTCTGACTGTACATATCCCTTGTCACTGCTATCTAAATTGCGAATTCCTTGTCCCTGTTAATGAGGAGATGAGTCGTCTGGCTTGTTCGCTTCTTGGTACGGGACATCGTCTTTTCGGCTTAACAAGGAATTTGCTGTTTCTTTCTACGAGCAACTGCTGGGCGCTTTCATTGCTACGTTGAACTCATTCACAAGATGAGAGCACTCTGACGTGTTCGAAACCAAACATTCCTTGCGCTGCAGTACGGATTAGAAAGCAACCCAACGCTGGTTTTTCAATGGCTCTCTTGCTTTCCTAAGGGTGAGAGGGGCTTGCTCAAAATAACAGGGCTCTCCTCTTGCCTACAAGTAGTAAGTACCTGCTTTGCCACCCAAAGATTATGAAAGCTCCTCAACTTCTACCTGCCCAACCTGCCTGGAAGAGTCCCGATGGGTTCTAACTGCTGCGCCTTTCTGGGTTGAACTCAATTCAGCACGAAAGCGGGGCCGCCAGGGATGGCCCACCGCACCCACCATCAGATTTCTGCAAATGTCTCGTTAATAAAATGACGAAAATCAAGCAACTTCGTCTT